GTTATAGGTTCCATGAAGCTAATAAATGAAGAATATGAGTGGTCAGTTTAACAAACAACTCCGTCTCACTCGTTCGGATCAAAGACGATATGTAACAAATGCAAAGTATTTTAATGCTCTTCGTTCTACAAGCAAATTATCATTGGTTTTGAAAACAACAGACAAAGAACTTTATAAAGCAATCCTTCCTCATATATTTTCTTCCTCGGAAAACGAGGGACAGAGATTCCATCGAAAATCGCAAGAAATGGCTCCTTGTTTTGAAAAGGAGATTTATGTTCATACGACTTTTATAAATCGCCGTAGCAATGTGGGCTTTCACCTCGTTATGCTTGTTATATTTTCATGATCGTTAGATGAATTCATAGACAACGCAACGGTGGGGAGAAGGGATTTGGGGGAGAAGAAACTTTCAAGCAAAAGATGAAGTCATTGAATCCAAAGACAAAAAGCATTAACAGAAAAGTAATCACCCGTTCGGTACCAAAAAGGAAAGAAAAGAGTTAATAAGTTTTAATGATGATAGTATACTGGAAGAGTTGAGAAAGAAAGAGATAGAAGATATGGTTATGTTGCATTTAGTCAAGAAGAAACAACAAAAAGCTTTTAGTGACCTTGCGGTACATGATTTACAAGATCTGACAGAAACTAGTTCTCTCGTGAAAACTTACCGATTTCAATGACACCGAATTGACAAATAAAGGAAATTTGTCAAAAATACTCCTTCCTCAAAACACACTATGGAATCATCAAAGGGTTGCACCAATAACTTGTTACATTACAAAGAAGACTTACATTACTGAAGGAAAAAAATAACAGAACATATTTCGGACAACGTTCAAAGAAGGAAGAATAAAAAAATCTAAGCTAATTTTTATTTGTTTTATAATAATATTTATCTCATATGAAAGAACATGAATTATAGAATATTCGAACTCATGACATAAGAAGAGAACGAAACAACTTGTAAAAGGTATTATGCAAAATTTCTGAGACATACAAAAGATTTAAACAATCATCTAAATGCTTCTAAAGATTATGCAAAATTTCTGAAAGGTATAATATAAAGCTTATGAAAAAGCGTATTGAAAAAGTTTTATACATTGGGGAATTGTTGTGTAAAATATCGATATGAAGGATAACCCAAAAATATTATTTTTGCTTTAAATAGCTTCAGGTCTATTTTCTTCAACCATTCACTTTTCTTCGTCAATGTCAATAGAAGGCTCTTCAACCTTTGGTAAGAATTTCTGTATAACATCTTGTTCGTTATTGTTCTTCAAGAGATGAAGGATAATATTTCACATTATTGTTTTCACCCTTTATATTCTTTTCTGTTCGGGAAAGATTTAAAAGCAATACTGAGAAGTTCAACTTAGAGTTCTTTATAAACAGTTTATAGTGTGTTATCTTTGACATTGACGAAGAAACTCTTTTGTTCAAAACTACTGCTAACTCTTGTGAAGTATAAACGTTTGCGGTCAATGACAATAGCTAATGGTCTGGACATACTGACCAAACTTAGATTCTTTCACAAATCTTCTTGTTAAAGATAACATTGACGTTTTTGAAGCATTAATTGAACTCATTCTTGATGACAGTAGCAGAGAGCCATTGTATGAAAAGAACTTGCAATCTCATGTTGTTTCATTAAAATAAAAAGTTCGAAATATTTTAAAACTAGCCTTAAAAAATCTAATCTTAATTTTTTCAAAAAATATTTTTATTTCCTACTAAAGATGTATCGGAAGTTGTCTAAGTTAGAACACTCGGAAATAAAACAACTTCTTACAGAAGCTAACATAGATGTTGCAAAGCATTACGCAACAAACAAAAGGCACTCGCTGACTTCATTAAAGACTTATAATGGTGCAATAAGTTATGATAGAATTCATAAGTTTCAATAAAGCCGCAACGCGGCGAGGACGAAGTCCATGCAATATGCATTTCCTTTAAATGACATTGCTATTGACTTATATCATAGACGTTCAGTACCTCATGGAAGTAAGAAGAGAAATGTTTGACATAACAAATGCGAACGTTGGCTGAAACAAGAAGAGCTGACCACATGAAGTAAGAAGAGAAATGTTTGACATAACAAATGCAAACGTTGGTGAAACACGAAAGAGAGATGACACACTGAAACAACAGAGAAGAGAGATGTTAAAGTGCTATAGAACAAGTTCGCAAAGCTAACGATGTCATTCGTTCCATTGACGACAACACCAAAAGAAGGTGAGAGATGGTTAAAGAAAGATGAAGAGAAATAGAAGAGAAATGTGAAGTCAGGCAATAGACTCATTACTTTACACGAAGCTTTAGATAACCAAACAGAGACTACTTACACAAACATTTTGGTAAGGTTTTCATGAGACTCTTAGAGAAGATTAAAATAAACTCCCAAACAAAGATTGGATGGTATGTTATAAACTTGGTGGAAAGTATGAATGTTCTACTGTTAAACTCAATAATATTGGAACCATTACACATCAGCTCTTGAAGGAGAACTTTAATCAGAGATAGAAGCAAATGCTGCAGGTATGTTGAAATGCACTATGACTTCTTCTTGACAAACATAAAGAATCTTACCGAAATAAAGATGATGATGTTAACAGAATATAAGGCTTAACGATGTCAGATGTTAAAGAAAGGCAAACCAAAAAAGAGACCATATAGAGATGAAAGCACACTGACAAATGACAAAGCCATTTTGGAAGCTCTTAAGCAAACAGGAAACCCAGCACTTATAGAAAGCTTTTGGAAAGATAATGGTGAAAAGAAGTTTTATAAGAAGAGAAGCGGGCAGTTCTGGAAGTATCTTTGCACATTACCTATAAATCTTGAACGCTACCAAATCTTCAATGAACTGAACAAAAGAACTGCAACACTTATGACAGAAGATAACTGCTTCGTTTATGCTTGCATTCAGGCTGGAGTAAATGAAGAAACTATTGACCACATGAGAGAAGTCATTCGTGTTAGAGACTTTCCTCAAAGTAAAGTACAAGAAATTTCTGACGCAACAGGTATAGCATTTAATGTTACCATTGGTTACTTCAATGACTCAAGACATAATGAAATAAAGAGATATATACCAAAAGAATGTGAAACTGTCGAACTATTGACTTACTTCTTGTTGAAGACCACTACATGCTAAATGAAAGATTCCAATGACAACATATTTCATTCGCAACTATATAGAAATCTTGAAGAGTGTGGTGGAATGAACATTGAAAACAGATGAAATATATACAAAGAGAGAGATAAATATGTAGTTCGCATGGATAGAACTACACCGCTATGGGATGTTATGAAAACATTGTGGGAGTGCAAATATTTTGAACCTATTTCTTATGGAGAACTTTTCACATATACGACTGACTTATATAAACAGAACCTTGCACCATTTAAAGATTTGACATATGCTCCAAAGTATTGTGTACAACTGAAGAAGAAAGCAGAGTCAAAAGAAGTAAATAAAGCTAAATGTAAGTTCATACCTGAGCACGTTTTCTTTGCTGACTTTGAGTGTAGTACGGATGGCTTTCATAAAGCTTTTAACATCTGTTATGACAGTGAAGATGGTTCAGTGAGTGAAAGCATTTGGGGTCAAAACTGTGCAACAGAATTTTTGGAGCGACTTCCTGACAAGAGTTTAATATATTTCCATAACCTCAGTTATGATATAAACTTCATCTTAAGACACATGACAGAAGTGAAAGGAACTCCCATCATTAAAGGTTCACGAACAATGCAAATAACTGGTTTATATAAAGGACGGGCAATTATTATAAAAGACTCTTACAGTGTTATAAATAAGAAGCTTAAACTATTTCCTGCTATGTTTAACTTACAAACAGGACCGAAAGAAGTATTTCCATATAACTACTACAGCAGTGTTTTGTTAGCAAATGACAACAGAACTGGTGTCATTTCTGAAGCATGTAAGTTTATCCATGATGCAGATACATTTATGAAGAACATAGATTCCATCAAAGGTTGCAGAATAGATGAAACCACTTCGACTTAGAAAAATATAGCACGTTTTACTGCAAACAAGATGTAAGAATTTTAAGAGAAGGTTTTGTAAAGTTCCGCAATGACTTATTGAAAGAGTTTGATTTAAACGTTTATGACTACGTTAGTATTTGTTCTATTGCTAACAAATTGTTTGAGAACAGAGTATACTTCCCGAATGGAAATCTTTATGACCTCTCAAATAAACCAAGAGAATTTATTTCGAGATGCATTCAAGGTGGAAGATGTATGTTGTCAGATAACATGAAACAAAAGACGAAAAGAAACTCATTGCTGACTTCGACGCTGTTTCATTATATCCTTCAGCTATAGCAAGACTTTATACTTTAGAAGGTATTCCAAAAGTATTGAAGGAAGAAATGTTAAGCACAGAGTATCTCATGAGACATTTATTCGATGACGACCAAAAGGAACCCATTGGTGAAAAGTTTATGTCTGGCTTCTTTGTTCTCATTAAGATAACAGAGATTGGTATACCCAGACACTTTCATTTAATAGTTTGCGACCCTGAACTAAATCCAGAACTTAACGTTCCAAGAAGTTCAAACACTTGCTGTCTCATGTATGTTGACCATATAACATTACAAGACCTCATAAAATATCAAGGTGTCAAATGTGAAGTGTTGCAAGGATACTATTACGATGGAAACAGAGATATGAGAATAAGAGATGAAGTAAAGAAGTTGTTTGAGTTAAGGTTAAAGTATAAGAAAGAAGAAAACCCCTTACAAGAAATTATAAAACTCATTCTGAACAGCATTTATGGCAAAACTATTCTATCTCCTATTGAGTCAAAAATAACCATAGTAGATGACAAAGATGCTATAAGATATGCTATAAGAAATTACAACCATATAGTGAAGTTCGAAGGTTTGGATGGTTCAGATAAAACTATTTTCAAGCTAACGAAAAGCATTTGCAGACACTTTAACTTCTGTCCACTTGGTGTTAATATTCTGTCTATGTCAAAACGTATTATGAATGAAGTATTCTGTACTGCAGAGGACATGGGACTTCAAATCTTTTACCAGGACTGTGATAGCATGCATATTTTCAATGAAGACATCCCAAAGCTTGCAGCAGAGTTTAAGAAGAGATACGGTAGAGAACTTATAGGAAAGAACCTTGGTCAGTTCCATAGCGACTTTGCAGAAATAACACCTGGAAAACAAAGTTTAGCTTATAAAAGTATTTTCTGTGGAAAGAAGACCTACATAGACTTACTCACTAACGATTTAAATGAAGTTGCATTTCACTGCAGAATGAAAGGCGTGAAGCAAGATGTTATTGCTTTAACCGCTAATGAAATGTTTCCTGAAGCTATACAATGCTATTACAATGAAGATAAGAACATTCACATACCTGTTGGAACATATGACAAAGACTCTGAGTTCAGTTTAATGAAACTTTACAAAGCACTTTATGACGGTCAAGAGATTGGATTTGACTTATGTAAGTCATGTCAACCTTGCTTTGCTGAAAAGTTTAACTTCTCAATAACGACTAAAACAAGCTTTATTCGTAAGTTGAAGTTCTGAGGTCATTTATTTTTGTCAGCAATGAGGTCATGAATGAGGTCATGAATGAGGTCATTTATTTTTGCAGAATGAGGTCATTCGTGATAAAAATAAAGCTAGCGTAGATTTTACAATACTGCGATGGTAGAGTTTAAGAGTTGTGCTTCAATGTAGAGACAGTCCTTGGAGGCAAGAACACTGGACATTTATGGTCATGAGTGGAGTAATGTCTATCCAAAACTCACGATTGAAGCCAGTTAATTTATAGTATTTAGGGTTAGGAAGTGGTGAAGTTCTTGTATGACCAATGAACTCATTTTCAACGCCTTTGGCTATATTAGAGTAAAGTATTGCTTGCTTTCTATCCCAAATGCCAGGTGTTACAATCTTTGAAAATTCATTTTTCCTCGGAAGCATTGCATCATAATTGAAAACATTCTTAAAATCATCACTTGGTTCGGAGATTTGAAATCTTATACGTAATGGATTTTCTTTCTTTTTAGCGACTTCATTGAATGGTGAGAATACAATGAATTGACAGTCATGAGTTCCATCTTCATTTTCATTAAATTCATAATGAAAGTCTATAAGTTGTGGCTGACTACCTTCTTCTTTCAGTTGTGCAAGAAACTCACGTAAAGGCTGTAAAGTTTGTACTTCAATGTTGAACTTTTTCTCGAACATCTCATTAAATGAAATCATACATTGTTGCAATGTTGTATCGTCTTTAAAGTATTTGTATATGTGAATGTTTTGGGCGCTTAAAGACTGTTCGTCATTTTCTATCTCGACTTGAAGTATAAAGTCAACCTTTCTGAAAGCACGTGTTATATACATAGATGTTATGCCAATGTACTTCTCTTCATTTATGTTCACAATCCAGTCTGTTGGAAACTTAAACGTTACTCTGTTCCCCTTTATTTTGACGTCAGGGTTTTCACTACTGAACGCAACAGTTAAAGGTATTTGTCTATACATTTAATTCGGATAAAAATAAACCATTTACTCTTTCTTTGCTTCAGCTTCTTTAGCTTTTGCTTCTTCTCTAGCTTTTTTCGCCAGCAAACGTGGGTTCTTCTGTCTTCCAGCAGCTAATGCAGCAGTTGTTTTTCACTAAGTTTTCTCTTTGGTCTCTCTGGCTTTTGTTCTTGTTTTTGTTCCTTCAGTTCGGATAAAATTTGCTCACGAATTTCTTTCTTCAATGCTTCAACATCTATGACCCCTTGGGTCTTGTCCGTAGGATTGTCTGAGTCATTTGACTGCAGATAAAAAACTAAATTAAAACTTTAACCGATGTAAAATGAGCTTGTCAAAATCAGAGCGAGAGTCTATTATATTAAATGACGCAAGAGGAATACAACATCCTTTCTATTATGTAAGTCAGAGTAAAGATGGTAAAATATACGTAAGAAAAAGAAAGGTACCATTAGCGAATGCAGAGAGCGACAACATTAAGGTGCATGGCAAGGGTGAAGTCCACGAAGCCCATATAAAACCTTCTGTTCAAACTGAACAAAGAACAAGAAGAAAAGAAGCCAGATGTACTTTCAATAACGAACCAAGAGCTTATTGCAAAGTTCGTGAATTTCATTGAAAACAAACCGAGTCAAAGAACCCTGACCCCAGTGAAAGAAGTTGAGACAAAAGAGAAATGTACAGTTCATTGAAAATGTCAAGAAACAACTTCCACCACGAATACCAAGAAGAAGAGTGAGAATAATGAAGTAAATAGATATTTTTATCTGAAGTAAATACATGCAGAACGAACAGTTAAACGAATTTACTCCAGCAGAGCATATTCATCAGATTCGCTCATATTTCGATATCATAGACAATGCAGTTCAAATTGGTGACACTAATAGAAAATATTCTGACGCAAAGATTCCATCACAACCTGGAACTGCTAAAGATAACACATGGGTAACATTCAATCTCTCACCCTCCTGGTGAAAATATGTTGGACCTTACAATACATTCATTACGTATAAAATGGAAGGTCAATTTATTGTAGATAAAGAAATTGGTTCAGGTTCCAATAAAACAAACCCACCAGGATTTTGGATTGGTTTCGATGACGCTTTCTATGCAGTTGCTGGATATCAAATCCTTGCAAATGGTCGTATCGTATATTCTCAAGACAACGCAAGAGAAGAAGCATATATAACTTCAAAACTCACAAACTACCGAACAAATAAAGAAAGTAGATGTTTTCTCAAAGACTCGACATGAAGATGTATGGAGTCATTCGGGAACATGCAGAACAGGACAAATTGTTAGCGGTCCAATTACAGCAGGAAAATCATTTGATTTTAAGCTTCGTTTAAGAATTCCTGTTAGAAGATTCCTTCCATTAGAAGCTATTCGATTTATTCCAGCTTTTGCAGGAAACATTCAGCTTAAAGTAAAGTTCAGTAGCGACGCCTTACAATGCACATCTATATCTGTAAATGATATCATTGCTTTCAATCCAACTCTTAAAGTTGCATTTGCTTCAGATTCAAATCCACCGACAAATAAATTTGTTCCATGGAATGAACCATTCACTATGATAACGAAGGCAGTAGAAGCTAGTGGAACAGTTACTATTACAACTGTAACCCAGCAACTATTTCGAACAAAGATGGATTTTAATGAATGTTTCATTCATCCAAAGTCATTCTCTTTAGACCCTAACATTTATACAGAACTTGTAGAACATTATACAAACGAGGCTTTATGTTTTCCTGTTAAAGTTATGGATTGGATTCCTATGGACGGTTCATTCTCAAAGAATACAGATAGTTCAAGTGCAACATTTACAGCAGCTTATACGCCTATTAATGTTAAAAGTATTTGGGCACTATTTAGAAAGAAAGACAACTATTATGTTAATTTTGAGAACCCTAAGTTTAAATATCTTCAGCTTTCCATGGGAGCTTATGGAAATATGCCTGCAGAACCTGAAAAATCATATGGACCTGTATTTTATGAAATGGTTGCGAACGCTTGCAATACAAACAATGATATGATAGGATTTAATGAAGATGTTATGAGGTCATTGGTGGATGATGGTAGTGTGGAACATAAATGGGATAGCTATGACAACACACATTTCTTATGTGGTTTTCCAACAGAAGTGGACTTTTGCTTCCACAAGGTCAAACATCTACTGCTGCCAATAACATACAAATTGTCTGTTAAAGGACCTATTGAACTAGCAACTGAAAACGTACCAAAGCCACTTATTGGATTTATGAGGGATTGTTGCTCTTGCCATTCAGGTGCGTGCTAATGGCATCCCATAATAAGATTAGATGACTATAACTTAGCCACGGACGACAGTGAGGAATAAAGGATGAACGTTTATTTTTAAAGCTTATAAATGGAGTTTCTTCCATCAAGCTCTCGTGAACCTTCACCATCTGTGAACAAACTTTACCAACACGATTATGGAGCACCTATTGAATATTTCTTACGAGCTGCACAATGGCAAAGAGCAGTCTCACCAAAGGTTAGGTGTTCCACCAGCTCCTGTCAAAAATAGCATTTGGTCAAGTCCTTATATAAAATATGGTCTCCCACTAACTGGTTGCTAGCTACAGCAGGAGCAGTAATGATGTTGAAAAGAAATAAAGCAAATGTTATAAATAATACTGAAATAGCTGAAGTAAAAAACTCCAACACCTTCGCCAAAACCACGCCTTCACAAGCAAAACCTTCAATAACTCCTGAACCTATGGAAGTACAAACTCCTGTTCAAAAGTCAACTCCTAAACCGACTCCAACATTTAAACCAGAACTCTACTCCTCAAATAAATCGTAAAACTCCTGCGTTTTCCTTACTGAAAAAAAACGTTATTTTTATTTAATATTAAAATTTTTATTTGATTGAAATGACGACTAAAGTCACTGAAGCAATGAAACAAAAGTTTTTGGTAGAATACATTAAATCAGGAACTATTCCGGAAGGTTTTTACATTCATACTATGAAGGATGGTAGAGTTCAGTTTAGAAAGATAAAGCAACCATTAGATAGAGAAGGTATATTAAGGAAGATTAAACTTCATGAGGACAACATTGCTGAACTTAAGAAGAAGTTAGAAGAGTTGGAGAAAGCAGACGACAGTGAGTTATAAAGCAATGAATTCAACAGGTTAGAAAAGAGGTTAGATATCGGGTTAGATCTAACCTTCTACCCTAAATTTATTTTTGTGCTATGTTTTCATACGTGTGCGGGTGGTGATATCATTAATTTTTTATTTTATTTTTAAATAATTTTTTATTTTATTTGGATGTAAATGACAGAACAAAAGCAACTCATACAAATCAAAACATATAACAAACATACATTTAAACATTTATTCTTCCTTCCTGAGCATAACATGTTCTTTCAAATACATCGAGACCAGTTGACTTTTCATTGACTGTGTATAAAGATAGAAATAGTTATATCATTAAACCATACGATGACGAAGGTAAGTTATGTAAATTGTACGTTAAGAAGTTAGAGAAAGTTTATGGCTTCAAGTATGACTACAATAGGGTTAACACTGATGATGAAGATATTGAGGAAAATTTATGAGAACATTAGTGAAGTCGTTAGTGAGAACGATAGTGAGAACGTTTATTTTTACATTAGTGAGTTCGTTAGTGAAGTCATTAGTGAGGTGAAGTGGTTGGCGGCTTTGTAAATATTTAAGGTTAAGTTAATGTTGTCGTTTGTGTTGTAAAATATACGTTAATGTTAAGTTAGTGTTGTCGTTTGTGTTGTAAAAATATATGTTAATGGTTTTGTAAATATTTAAGGTTAAGTGGTGTACGGAGGCGCGCAGTGCCACAGTACACGACTTAACCATACTAACTGAAGATGCTCTTTTGAAGATTCGTTCGATGAAACCTGCTGGGGCTCCTCAGATTGGTATAACGACAGCTTCCATCGAGCAGATTTTGGCAGCAGGTCAGTAAGTTGTTCTTGAACTGACTTCTCTCCGTCAAATATTGACAGTACGCCAGTTTTGATATAATATTGTATTATAAACTTACCTTTAGAAATATCGGTCAGTTTTGTTGTTATATTTTTGTCAACGTCAAGAACTTTCACCATCTCGGTTATACCAACTTTCTTTGCTTTATGAAAATATTTTGGTTCAGCAAAGACTGCTATTCTATAACATTTTCCATTGTTTGTGTAAAGAACTACTCTGTCAATGAACTTGTATTGTTTGTGTGTGTAAACTTTGTTTTGCTTCAATTCGAAGAGATACTCAAATACGTCCATCTTTTTATTCTAAGTAAAATGTCATTTCCGAAAAATAGAAGCGTAAGTGTTTCAAAAGGTTTAATGGCGATGGCAGATGTGAAGTTAAATTCACCAACTCAAACAAACAGTCAAAGTGTTGTTGTCAATGTCAAAGAAAGAGATGTTGAAGTGGGGAAACCATACGAAGACGAAGATGGTATAACAATAGTTCCTGTAAAAGAACAACCAACATATCCTGAAGTTAGCAGAGACTTAAGTTCTGTTGCAGATATTCGAAACGACTACCAACAACTTAAAGACAAACTTAAAACTCAGGAGAAGATTTGTCAGGCTTTGGGTATAATGTTAAACTTGGTTGAGCACAACCCTGTAAAAGTGAACTCATATGTCATCGCACCTCATGAAATTTTGAAAGAACTATTGAAACTTTTGACAGAGGCAGACGATATAAACATCAAAGAAATAGAACCCGACATTGCTTGCTGTGGTGTTTCATATAATGTCATTGACAAGATATACGTTATGAAAGGAGGTGAAACGTTGAACTTAAAATATAGTTTCCCAGACGTCATAAAAATATTTGACGACCACAACATTTCATTAAAGTTTGTTTGCTAAGTAAAAATGTCAAAACTTCTTGAAAGATGTTTGAAGAAAAACAATATAGACTTTATTTCATGTAAAGGACTTTACACACTTTTGAACGATATGAAAGACCCTGTTTTGTTTGTTCGTGTAGACAAAGGAAAGTTCTATGTCTTTACAAAATATTTGAACTTCTTAGACAGAGAACTTCAAGAAACGCCATGTGAAAGTTTAGATGAAGTTCTTCTCCACTTTCAGAAAAACTTTTAAATATATGTAAATGGCAGAAGACATAGTGGTTTATACTATTACGACTAAAAACCCCGAGTCATATAATTCTATAACAACAAACTTACAAAGTCCTCAAGGACGATATTGTAAACTGACCTTAAACACGATGACGACTAAAGCCTGTTTTGCTCTTTTGACACCAGAAGATTTTATTGTTGTGAATGGTAAAAAATACTCCTTTGAAGATACTTACTCAGATATACCACCAACAGGTTTTGTTGACTTATTTAATACTTTAAGGACGGATGTAACATGTGCTGCAACTAGAGCAGGTTTCATTATGTTTGGATGTCCGACTGAGTTTAGTATAAAAAATATATATAATACAAAACTTATATCTGGTTTTTACTACCAACAGTTTCCTATAACAGGAAAAGGTGTCATACAAGGAATGTCTGTTCCATTGACTTTAAGCACACCTATTTTATATATTGTTTCAAACTTAGGTTCAAAGTGCTATTCGAATGTCGACAGAAACTACTATGACCAAAAGATACTCATGCGTATAAACAACACATTCTCTGCTGGTTTGCCTATTGTTCATTCGAATGCAGAGTTTTCAGCTTTAGTGAACTCAAACACTTTAGCAAACATAAACTTAACCTTAGTTGACGCAAACTTTGTTCCTGTAAAACTTTTATGTCCTATGTATTTGTCAATGACGGCAGAAAGTTTCGAATTGGAAGATGCAACTGGTGAAAGTATTGTACTACAAGAACAACTTCAACAACAAATAGCTCAAGAACAACAAATGCAACAAATGGAACAAATGCAACAACAAAGTCAAGAACAACAAATAGCTCAAGAATAAAAAAAATATTTTTTTTTATTTTTATAAAAAAATGTACAGAATAGACGTTTCAGATTTTTATGACTTCCAAGCGTTCAGAAATATGTGTCCATTTCGAGACTATAACAAAGCAGTCGAGAATTTGAAACGTTTAGTCATTTATGTCGACTCTGCCCCAGAATGTTATGTCATGAAAGAATGGGATGTTGTCTTTAACAAACCTAAAGCGACAATAGTTTCAGAACAAGAATGTAAACAGAAACTTAAGAAAATAAAAGTCGTACAAGTTGGTATGAAGATGTTAGATGCTTGGGATATCTTATTGTCAAAGTTAGAAGATTTTTCAGTTCGTGGTATAAAGTTCTATACACCTTCTCCAAACTTCTATTCTATCTTCACTGGATATAAATACGAACAAGTAGAATGGAAAGAAAATGTTATAGAAGCTTGGTTAGACCATGTCAAAGAAATTATATGCAATGGAAACGAAAGAGTCTATGAGTATATCTTATGTTGGTTTGCAAACATCTTACAACATCCAAGTGCTAAAAATGAAACTGCTCTCATTGTAATTGGAAAACAAGGAACAGGTAAGAACACTTTCTTTACAGATATCTTATGCAAACTGTTAGAGGGCTATTCGAACCCGAATATGACAAACTTAGAAAACATCTGCGGTAAATTTAACTCTTCAATAGAGAATATGAAACTTATAGTATGTAACGAACTTCAAAGTATAGATACAACAAAGGTTTTAAACTCAGATGCTTTGAAGAGTCTTATAACAGACAAAGTTGGAGTTGTTGAAAGAAAGTATAGAGACCAAAGAGTTTGTGAAAATGTTGCAAACTTCGTCATGGTTTCAAACAACGCCGTTCCGATGAAGTTAGAAAGTTCTGACAGAAGATATGTAGTTGTCAGAACGTCAGAAGCTCATATGCAAGATACAGAATATTTTGACGACTTAGCAGAAACTTTGACACCTAACTTTTACAACCACTTGTTCTCATATTTTATGACATTAGATATTTCAAAGTTCAATCCAAGACAAATTCCACATACCGAAGAGAGACAAACATTGTTAGAAGCAAACAAGAGTGTATATGAACTGTTCATAGATGAAACTGACTTTGAGTGTTTAGATGAAAGGTCATTGTACGATTCGTATAAACAATATTGTCAAGAGTATGGTTATATGACAGCGTCTAAACGAACATTCTTGGCAAATGTCAAAAGTCTTTTAGATGTTCAGAATGGTGTATATACAAAGAAAATTTTTCTGAGTAAATTTTAAAAAAAATATTTTTTTTATCCGATAGAAAAGATGACAAAATTCATCTCAGTCAACAAGTACATGTCAGGACTTAAAGAAGAACTAGACCCATTCACATATTTGAATGTTTACTTCTACCATTTTGAAAAGTCTTCATTTGACAAAGTTTGGAACATCGAACCAGTTAAGTTTGCTATTGTGACTAAAAATGGTGCGAAATTTGAAGACTTAGACATAGAAGGTTTGTTAACAGTCAAAGAAAGTTTTGACAGAAGGTTCTCAAACCTTAAAGAAGGCAAAGCATACAAACTTGTTATACCTTATGAACCAAAGAAAGCAGACGACTATGAATATTATGAGTCTAAGATAGTTGAAGTTCAAGGTAAATTGGGTAAAAAGATTTTAGAGTCTAAGCCAGTGTTTGCTCCTAAAGAGGAAGAGAACATTGACATTGACCCAGAAATGTTCTAAAAATAAAATTTTATTTTTACATGTCAAATTTCTTTTTCTCTGGCTCTGGTTCTTTCTTCTCTTCTTCTACTTTCTTTTCTTTCTTTTCTCTCTTCTTCTTCTGGTGGAGTTATGTCAAACTTCTCAGAACCATATTTTTGTAAAAGTGCTTTGTCCTTTAATAGCTCTTCTATTCTGTCTTCTATTTCATTTTCAAGAACAGCGCATGTGTCTTCTTTGCATTCTAAGAAGTTTTGTTGGACTTCATCTCTCCAAGAGGCGTCATCTCTGTCAACAAGTCTGTCATTGACAAATTTTAAGACTTCTCTGCTTAAGGTTTTATGGTTCTTGTCATATTCCCAGAAACAGAACTTTAGAACAAATTCACCTTTCTTGTTTACACTATGTAAGATTTTATGGTCGACAGATGTTTTGCTGTCGAAAAGCTTGTCTCGAATATAGATAGCGAAATCGCTAGACATTTCCTAAAAGATAAAAATTTTAATTTTTCTAAAAATATGTTAGAAAAAAAGTTTGCTGACATTGACAAGAAATTTGAGAATGTTTTAAACAAGAACAAGAGGAAGTTGGAAAATGCTCAGATAAAACCCATACATGACAAGTTCTTATTTGCTCAGAATGGTATAACAGGTCTAATCGCACCACCTGGGTCGGGTAAGACTTTCACTTATCTTAAAATGGCTGCACAACAACAAGAACTAGATGAGAAGAACCCATTCTATGAGTTAGTAGTCATTTGTAGTACTTCTGGTCAATTTGACCAAACCGTAAATTCGTTCAAAGATATTATAAAAAAGTCTAAGTTAGTATGTATAAAAGATACTGAGTTGTTAGATTGGATAAAGAAGTACCAAAGAAGAGTTTTGAAGTACAATGCTATAAATGAGTATGTCAATTCTAAGTTTAAAGACCCAAATGAGGAAATGCAGAGAATATTAGAGAAGAAACACTTCAGAAACAAACAGAAAGAGATTGAGTACATTTCGAAGAAATTGCAATCTTACGATTGGAAGACTTACCCTCACAGATGTCTTCTTATCTTAGATGACTTTGCTTCTCATCCTTTGTTAAAGAACAGAGAACAAGACATGTGTCGAATTCTCAAGAAGCTCAGACACTTTAACATCTCTGTTGTCATTTGTGTACAGACAGCCAAGAGTTTAAGTAAGGATGTAAAGAGAATACTTACTGACATTGTACTCTTCCCCGGATTGTCCGAAGACGATTTCATGGAACTTATGAAAGAGTCCATGGCAGGTAAGTTTGACAGACATGAACTATGGGAGAAGTACAAAGTCATACAAGACCCTCATACTTCTTTCAGAATTCATATCTACGCGAACAAAGTTCAAATTGTAAAAAGTCAAGCTTGAAAAATATATGGTTCATTTACTCTTCCTCTTTGAAGTTGTCAAAATACTCTGTTATCTTTTCCTTCAGTAGCGGTAAGTCTTCTTTGAAGGTAAGTATTGTACAACCTTTCATATCATAGTGTGTTTGAGGTAACGTATCTTGAACTATCTGTTTAACATCTTCATTCGGTGTCATTGAAATCGGTAAGTTTTCGCGATAGAACCAATTTCTGTCAGATTTGTAAATCTTAGCAAGGTCGTAAAAGCTTTTGTTGTTTCTTCTGACTAAATGCAACATAACCATATCTCTGTCTTCTTCATTTTCCATCTCTTCAGTGTAAATCATATACTTATAGTTCTTTTCCTTTCCTTTTGGTACCGAACGTGGTATTCTTTTCTGTATGTTTTTGTCTTTTGCTTCAATGACTTCATCTTTTGCTTGAAGTTTGTTCTCTAGCTCTTCACGTTCTTGTCTATGAATTTCATCTAACATCATGAAAATATAACAAGCGTAACGAGGTGAAGCCCACATTGCTACAGCATTTACAAGAAGTCTATGTACATACCAACCTCTCAAACCAGGAGCCAAATTCTTGCGATTTTCGTACGGAATCTCTACCCTCGGTTTTCCGAGGGTAGCAAACATATGAGGAAATTCTTCTAAAAGTTCTTTTGTCTGTTGGTTTTCAAACCAATGAAATGCTTGCTTTGTAGAACGAAGAGCATTCAAAATACTTTGCATTTGGTACATGTCATCTTTGACCGAACGAATGAGACGTAACTGTTTGTTATACTGAACCCACTCGTATTCTTCATTTATATCTTCATGAACGATAGCAGTTGTTGTGTTCTCTGTTGTTGACATTTCTGTCTTTACATACAAAATAAAAAATAAAATAAAAATAAAATTAGCGTTATTTTCTATCTTGTATAAAAGACCAAAAATAAACGCTTTACATGTATTTTTCAGCAACTTCGTCAAATAATTTTATAGCTTTGTCGATCTCATCTACTTCAAACGTTTCTTTACCTCTCGTGGGAGCACCATACATTTTCTCAAACTTTTCAAGCAGTTCTGTTTCAGCAGCTCTCATATCGTTAACAAACGCAACCTTAACTCTATTGACTGTAGAGTCATATCTTTTAGTTATATTATATGTTCTTCCTATCTTATATCTCTTTGTATTGAAGTCCTTCGGTTTCTGAACGATGTAAAGTAAGCCTTCACAGCAACGTTCCGTATCGAATGAACCATATGTTATGAAATTATATCCAACAACTGGGTCAATCCAGAACAAAACTAGTGGTATAAGACTTTTGTCGATGAGATATGCTGTAGTTCCATAGAATCTTACCGATATCATAAGCTCAGGATTTCTTGTCAAAATTTTCTGAGTAGAAGCATTTCTAACCCAGTCGCTTGCTCTCTTTCCAGATGGAGATATAATGTCTGACAAAGAATATTTTTTGTATTTCTTTGAGTATCTTACGTTTAAATCACCAATTCTAACCACTTTGGTGTCATTGTCTATCTTTTTGACTGTTTCAAACTCAGTGTTTGTCATTTCCTGTTCTTACATACAAAATAAAAAAAATATTTTAAAAAAACTAGCGTTAATTTTATTTTTTCTATCTTGTATAAAAGATATGATTTCATAGAGTTTTTTTACGATTTTCATGAGTTTTAGGCAACCCCTGTAAAAGTCGGGGTAGCATTTTTTCACGATTTTCATGAGTTTTTTCACGATTTTCATGAGTTTTAGGCGAGTAAGATTTTTTACTTACTCGCAATTTTTCACGATTTTCATGTGTTTTTTTTACGAAGTGCAAAAGTTCTCTTCGTCAAAAAATAACAGTTATATAATGAAAAAGTGTCATTTTTTTCATGTCAGAAGACTCGAAGGTGCAACACTTCCAAAATACCGACGAACTCAGAAGAGCAGCATGGCAGTATGTTCTTGACAACTTCTTTGAGTTCTCCAGGTACACCTTGGAAAATGCTGAAGAACTCCGACACAGAGAATTTGGAGAAATTGCACTCCAATACTACCTTGACAAACAAAGGGTAAAATAAGACTAAAAACTTAACGTTTAAAAAGTGAATTTTTATGAGCTCCGAGTCACCCGAGAAAACTTGGTCAGATGTTAGCAGCTTACTTCCCTGAGGAGGATGGAAGCGTTACATACGTAAGGTTCAAAAACAACGAACCTGGAATTGCGTACAAAATTCGCAATTACATGACCATGGAAGAGTACGAAAGGTTCCTACAAGAAACCAGCTCTAAACAACTCAGAAAAGAAAGAATAAAAAGTTTAACTCGTAATTGTTTATTTTTTTACTTGTATGGGCAAGCTGCAAGAATGAAGTCGACTATCTCAGTCTTTGTCTTGACGAGCTGGACGGCTCTTGCGAGTACGTCTGTTTTGCGGTCTCCAGCTGGTGTTTGACCTTCGTAATTGCGCATGTTCTTGAGAGCTCCAACTGTAAATGGCTGTAAGATGAAGAGTCTCTCAGACTGCTTGAGGTAGTCTTCACGGTCACGAACCGAATCTGTGGTACGAGTCGAATTGGTCGACTTTAGGGAAGAGACTGAAAGCCTGTCATCTTCCATAGGGGCTGTGGCATACTCTTTGCGTAAACGGTTCAGACCTTCCTCGAACTCTTGGTCTCTCTTGGATTGAGATTGGAATTGGAATTGGGGTGGAGGGTTTGACATGAACATCCAAGGGTTAGGGCAGTAAGGCATAGGCTGAGGAGGGTAGTTCGGGAAGCCTTGTGGTGGGTAGTAACATTGAGGTGGAAATTGGTAGTAATTTGGTGGAGGTACTTGCTGGAACTGAGGTTGCTGAGGTGCAGGGGCTGGTGCTTTAGGTTCCTCTGGCTTGGGAATGGACTCGGTTGGTGGTACGTCGGACATTGTCTTGAAACAATAAAAGACTTGTCTTGAAAAAGTAAAAGACTTGTCTTGAAAAAGTAAAAGACTTGTCTTGAAAAAGTAAAAGACTTGTCTTGAAAAAGTAAAAGACTTGTCTTGAAAAAGTAAAAGACTTGTCTTGAAAAAGTAAAAGACTTGTCTTGAAAAAGTAAAAGACTTGTCTTGAAAAAGTAAAAGACTTGTCTTGAAAAAGTGAAAGACTTGTCTTGAAAAAGTACGGGTATCGTCTTCAATCAAGACCACTGTTCTCAAATTTGAGAACTTTACACCAAAAAATTTCTTGAAAAATAACGGGTCTTGTCTTGAAAAAGTAAAAGACTTGTCTTGAAAAAGTAAAAGACTTGTCTTGAAAAAGTAAAAGACTTGTCTTGAAAAAGTAAAAGACTTGTCTTGAAAAAGTAAAAGACTTGTCTTGAAAAAGTAAAAGACTTGTCTTGAAACAATAAAAGACTTGTCTTGAAAAAGTAAAAGACTTGTCTTGAAACAATGACCGACATAGACCCAGCAGATGAGGCAATCTACCTTATAGAGATAAATGAGCTAGTTAGGAACTACCTGAGCCATCTGAAGTCAAACAGGACCATTGCAGGCTGGGTGTCTGGAAGAGGTGCGCTTAAAATTGAAATTGACACCGGAATTGTCCTGCAAATACCAGAAAACACTCCTGTAGACGACATAAAAGAGATGAAGAAAGAAACCCTCTTGAAGTTCTTTGCAAAGCGTCCGTGGATACAACTTCCAAACAGAGAGAACCCAACTGTACGAATTGCCCAAATTCTCAGAGGACTCTTACACTTCTCGGGTCAGGCGTTCTTCATAAACACAGAAGGCGACATCGTACCTTTACAGTAAACATCTATATGGCACGCTTTGAGTAAAAACATTTTTTTCATTTTTGAATGAAGCAAGTTAAATTCGTCCCACACCAAACTCAATGGACCGATGAAGAGTTTCAAGCTATAGTTGAAGGTGTTGAGAACGACATAGACGGCGAACTTGAAGGAGCTCAAATCACAATTGCAACCAAAATTGCAGAAGTCAAGGAACAGATAGCTCCACTTAAAGCTACCAAAGCTACTCTTGACCTCATGGATAGTTACCGTTTAGATGTCAAGAGTGGAATAAGACAATTAAAATTAAAACTTCTAAACTACGAAGCTATACTCCAAAAGTTAGCAGAAATGAGAAGACTTTACCAGAGCTACTTACATGTAAGGGACTTACCTTCAAGCAATCCGACCAAAGATGAATTTGTTGACATTGTCCCAATTTTGTCCGAAAGTCAGCTCAGATGTTTCGAACTGCTCCCAACATATCCAGAATATGAACGTTTGCCTGAACTCTTCCGCAATCTCAAAAAACGTTTTTTGGTTCTCATGTTCGAAACTTTTATCGGAAGAGACAACAAACGTTCAGAAGAAGAACAAGATATTATTTTAAACTTGTTGTATGACTTAACCGTCATAACAAGCTTTTTGAAGTAAAACCGTCATTCTCAAACCACTTCATTTTTTCGATGTCCGAACAAGCACCGAAGCCAAACTCAATGGCAGATGTCCTTTCAAGGTTGCCAGACAAGCGCCCAGTTCAAATTCAAATTGCCCAATTGAACGCTCATCTGACAACCACCATTAAGACTATCCAATGTAGTCTTATGGAAGAGATAACCAATCTCAAAGTCGAAGTCCTCACGAACCAAGCTTCCAATAAGAAAGTCCTGAACGATTTTGCGGAAACCTTGCGCCAATACAACATAGAGAACCAAAACCTTGCCAGACTCATCTACCGTTTCTTCGAAGAGATAGACGCCATCTGGAAGGTACTCGGAAAGGACAGAACATGCAACACCGTACTTCGTGAGTACCAAATTGAAGAAGGAATTTTCGAGGAAGAAGAGAAACACGAAGAAGAAGAGGAAGAAGAAGAGAAACACGAAGAAAAGGAAGTTTGGGCAACCCTTGTTGCCGATGACAGTTATGAAATTTCCCAACCCTACCCATACAAAATCCGCAACAGGGAGACCGGCAAGGTTCTTACCCCAGTCCTCAACAACTTGGGACACTTGAGCCTTACCCTTCGGAATTA